CACCATCATCATCATCATCATCATCATCATCACCATCATCATCATCATCATCATAACCATCAGGGGAGGACAGACAGGACCAGAACCTTTGTTGAATGATGACCTGTGGCTCAGGGGATAAAGCAAGTCGTCCTCTGCTTCAATCGCAGTCTTCCCCTTCCACGTACCTAAGTGTGCTTGGGCAAGATACTGAACCCCAAATTGCCCCTGACGTCTTTGCCGATCTCACAGAGAAAGTGCTGCACTTACGGTAGATCCACTGTATGAATGTGTGTCTGAATGGGCGAACGGTAAAAACTGTGCTGTAAAGAGCTTTGAGTGTCATCAAGACTAAATAATAAAACACAACTGTACCATCTACTGTCAAATAACTACAGAAGTTCAGTTCAGGTGTTGGTACCTGGAAGTGTGGGCTGGACACACACTTGGCGAGCTGTCTGAAGAGCGGCTCCTGGACTTTGACAAACTCTGATGGCTCAATGACATCCAGGATCTCCTCCAGTTCGTTCAGGAACATCACCTCCTTTGGACTGTGAGTCTTTGGCCAGAACTTCAGCAGACCCATGATCACCTGTAAGGTGTGAATATAATGTGCTTTTACAGGTTACACACAACATACAGGTGCCCACCCTCTACATTAGTTTAAAAACAACACGGCCCATCACCAGCAGCAGTTCTGACGGTGTTGTCATGGAAACAGAGGAGACTCGACTCACTGGTTCGGTCAGGCTACTGTCCTTCTCCAGGAACTGGACCACACAGTACGCCAGCTGAGGAGAGACACACACATGGTTAGTTCAGTCCTGATGACATCAATGATGATGTCACAGACAATGTGAGGACTGACCTGAGGGTGGTAGACGCTCAGAGACTTGACTTTGTGAAGGGGCAACAAAACTCGAATCAGAAACATCTTGTGTTCTTCTTTCAACGGTAGAGCAAAGCCATTGATAATACTGAGAGAGAGAGAGAGAGACAAAGGAAGAGAGAGAAAGAGAAGAAGACAGAGACAGAAAGAGAGAGAGAGGGACAATCACAGAGAGAGTGACAGAAAGACAGAAGGATAATTAAACTTATGACATGGATACAGTTGTTTGTGTATGTGTGTGCATATGCGTGTGTGTATGTGTGTTACCTGCCCAGTATCTCCAGCAGCTCAGCAATTCCGTTGTGATGTTCCGTCTCATAAATAAATCTGTAAAACATCAGAACCACATTCATGTTTGTATTAGGGCTGCACAATATTAGGAAAACGTGTGATATGCAATAACATTGTTTGATTTCGTGATATGAGTTATGATAAATAAACATTCCCTGGCTATGGACGCAGCGACTACAGATAGCTCCACAGCGGTCTCTCCACTGTGAGCGCAATGCTTGATGGGATATGTTGCTTGGTTAGTGACCATTGGTTGCACACGACTTTTCAAGATGCATCGTGGGAAACAATGAGTCCACTATAAAGGGTATAAATAAATAAATTCACCAAACATTCAGAACTACAAAAAGGCGAATTCACTATATAATCAGTGTATGGTCAGTGATTTTAAACAAAGTTCAAGAGCCAAGATTGCTTAATTTTACTGGTGTGATCTGTCACCATGGAGTGTGTATGTGATGTCAGCGGCTTTTATCTCAGTGCACGTTCTAACCTGTAGAAGATGTTGTTGATCTGACGGCGGATGTAGGCACGGAGGCCGAGGAACTTGCCGTAGATGCGGTGGAGGATGGTCTTCAGGAAGTCTCTCTCTCTGGGGTCCTCACTGTCAAACAGCTCCAGAAGCTTCAATATGTCAACAAACCCAAAGTCAAAGTCTCATAGCTCATCGTGTCAAACGTCAACACATTGATCTGTTCTTACCGACAAAACAAACTTCTGGTCGATGTATTTTTTGGCGATGTTTGGCTGAAAATCTGGAGACTCCAGAAAACGAAGGAAGAACTCGTACACGAGCTGTGGAGACAAACACACGGTATATAAAAATAACCATATATAGTGGCCTATAAAGATGATCAGTGACTGTATACAAAGATTATTTTACATTACATATCATTTAGCTGACATTTTTATCCAAAGTCACTTACAATAAGTGATACAGTCGTGATTTTGTCGAGTGGTTAGCTCGCAGTGAGGGAGCAGCAAGCCGATTGGCCGATGCAGTGTGGAGTGGATGGGCTGGGGTGTAAGGTGTAAAGACGATCAGTGACTGAATACAAAGACCCTCAGCGACTATCTTTAAAGACCTTCAGTAACTGTACATAAATATCATCAGTGACAACGTATCTTAGGACATTCACTTAAACCCTAAAACCAAGTCTTAACCCTCAAACAGCCCATTTAAAAAGTGAGGACCGGCCAAAATGTCCTCACTCCTTCGGGTCTATGCTTAGAATGGTGCAGGAACAGCACACACCTGCAGGTGGGGCCAGGCAGCCTCCAGCGTGGGTTCGTCCTCCTCAGGATCAAACTCTGCTCCGGTCGGGTTTGATGACGGAGGAAGAGTCCGGAACAAGTTCACTGAAAACTGAACAAATACACACAACTGTCATGACCACACTCAGCTGCAACGTAACTTAAACACTACGACAATGTTAACGTTACAGCACCTTCCAAAATCAAGTTACGAGCAGCTCTGACTGAGATGATGATAATGATTATTTCAGAAATTAAAACCACAAAAATTAAACAACGAAATAACAAACAACTAGAATTACCGCACTGTGGTTATATGCCTCCACCAACAAGTGCAGTTTCTGTGTTCATATTTAAACATACTTTTTGTTTTCCAGATTCATATTAGGTCACGGTGAACTTTAACTTTGACCAGTGAAATGTAATAAATTCATCTTCCAAGTGACAACTGATCAAAAGATGTAAATGTTATATTTGAGGTCACTGAACCTTGACCTTTGACCACTGAAGTCCAATCAGTTAATCAGTGAGTCCAAGTGAACGTGTGCAGAATTAATAAGTATAAATAAGTGTGTTATTTATACTTATTAGAACCTGTGGTAGCTTCAGTTGTCATAGAAAGTTAGAAGGTTTAGTTGGTCCAGTCTGGACATAATCATTCACAGGATCAATCGGGTTCGTCATTTGAAAAGTTTGTTACAATCAATAACTGATATTGATATAAGATCCTGTTGCTGATTCAGGGTTGTATTTGTTCAAATTATCTTTATTAAACTTCATAGATCTGATAAACATGACGCTCACGTAAGGTTACAACATGCTTTTGTATGAGTGTGTGTAGTCTGTCACCATGACGACGGCCTCAGGGTAGATGCAATCGGTCACCACGTCACTGTTGTGTGTGATATACTCGACCATCTCGTTGAGCCCCGCCCTCTTCACCTCTTTGTATTTGAGGTCGCTGAGCGGGTCACTGACAAAGTCGAACAGGACACAGCACTGACGCAGCTTCTGCACGAACAGCTCCTCACACTCCACCGGGGGTGCATCTGTGTGTGTGTGTGGGGGGGGGGGAATGGTCACATGACACTGGTTATGAACTCCTTAAGTTGATAGTTCCTCTAGATATGAGCTTTATCCAGAATAAAAGAAACAGTTACAGCTGCTAAATGCAGGAAAAACCTCTGGTAAAACATCCCTGATTGTGGGAATGTGTTTTTATAGTAAAAGTGTTCTATCATTAAAGAGTAGATCAGAATATGATTTCATTTGTGCTTCCATCACATGAATGTGTAATTTACATGTTCTCTCACCGTGTGTCTGTGAGTCTTTCAGGTGAAACCCTCCTCTCTGCTCACTGTATACATAGCATCGTGTCTTCAGCCAGATAACGTGCGATGGCCTCTTTTTTTAATTATACCCCTTTGATGTTTTCTCATAATAAGTAACACTTGCTAAACTTCCTGTTGCTGACGCTAGATTTATGGAACTCTCCTTATAGATCTTTGTGGTTGTGTTGTAGGTGGTGATGGAGATTAGTCGGGTTTCCTGTGGTTGTTTCCACAAGTGTTCAGCATGACTTGCAAAGTGCCTGTGTTTGTAACACATCATCTCTCTTCTATCCAAAATATATATATATATCTTACTGTTATTTAAGTGTTTAACTGTCATCGCCCACATTTTCCTTTTCATCTCTTTCCCTCCATCACAATCTAAATGTGCTAAAACCACCTCAGCCACTAGCACCAGCCATGGGGGCAGGCATCTAGGACAGTCGGGCTCCATCTGATTGGCCAGACATGCAGAGTGTGAATGCATGGTACATGAAACACCATTAATCGCCATTCAAGCTGTCTTTTGCAATGCGTATATCGCACGTGTTGATATCGCGAGGACGGTAGATATATTGTGCAGCCCTAATCCTGAGTATGTAGAACTCACTTCATAATACAGGCACCAGGTCAACATCAAGCTAACATCGAGTTAATGTTAGGCTAACATCAGGCCAACGTCAGGCGAATGTTAAGCTAACATCTAGTTAACATCAGGCTAACATCAAGTTAGTGTCTGGTTAACATGGCTAACCTTTGAGTGCAGGGAGCTTCTGTAGCTCTCGGTTCTTGGTGAGGCTGAAGCGTGACGAGCTCTGACGACGTTCCCTCTTCACAAGCTGAGCTCCTCCTGAATATTTGATCTTGTTGAGCTGCGTGGGAGGAGGCGTGCTGTTACTGGGACGTTTACTGCTGCTCTGCTGCACCTGAACACACACACACACACACACAC